GGCCATCCTCGAGACAGTCGTCGCTTTCGGGACGTACACCCCCCGCCTTTTCCAATTAACCAGTGTTCGGCGGGTTCCCTGGTATTGTCGGGTCTAGCCACGTGGTTTGGGATGATGGCAGAGTGTAGGCTTCTGCTGGGAAGATCCCGGGGATCGGGGATCGCCCTGGCAGGGCCCAGAAATGGAAATTGCCGGGGGGGTACGTGGGCCATCCTCGAGACAGTCGTCGCTTTCGGGACGCACACCCCCCGCCTTTTCCAATTAACCAGTGTTCTGCTTCTGCTTGCTTCTGTGCTTGTGCAGCAATACTACCCCGCGCCGACAATGTGGCTTAAACCCTTCCCCCATGCCGCTACTCCGTGCCGACAATGTGGCTTAAACCCTTCCCCCATGCCGTCATAGTGGCTTAAGTAAGGACAAGGTGGCTTAGTCTCTACATCCCCAGTGCCGTCATAATGGCTTAAGTCTCCCTACCCCCAGTGCCGTCATAATGGCTTAAGATCCTATTGAAAATTAGGGAAAATTAGAATAGTCTGTGGCTTCGCGAGAATGTGCTGAAGATCCGAAGCCCGTTCCCTGGGCTGGGGTTTCGCGAGATTGGAGCTAGGGACATTGGGAATCTCGTGCATCCATGCATGAGCGCCCCTACAGATGGCCGCCTCCTGGGCAAAATGCCTGCAACATGGGCCGCCCAGTGTCATGACAAAGACTGATGGATCAGCAATCAGACATTGGAACGTCCCTCGCTCTCTGTCCCTGATCTTCTCTCCCTGTCGCGACATTCATTCTCTCCCTAGGCTTTTAGGTGTCTTCAGCCCGGCCCGCCCGGCAAATGATAAGCTCAAGAAATCTCGAGTTTTGAGAACGTACAACCCAGCCAATGTCCCAAAACCGATAAATGGAAATCTGATCCCGGGAACATACGACTTCCAATATTCAGCCCCCCCGACCCCAAAGGTGGTAAATGGAACCGGAAATTGGAAATGCCTAAGTACCCCCCCCCCCCCCACACTTCCATTTAGCACGGCGGGGGGATCTCCAGGCTGAAAAGATGATTGAAGCCGACATCGAAGATCCAGGCATTGGTACAGACACAATGGCTTGCGGTCCCACTACGGACACATCAGGCCCATCAGGCCAACACATTGTCCACGCTCCCTGCCCATCAGCTCCAGGACCACTTGCATCGGCTGCCCCACCAACATTCTCGGGGCAACAGAAACCGGGGGAGACTCCTCTGCGCAGATGGACCCTGGAGAAGGTGCTACTTCACACGCCTCTGATGCTCCCTTGATTGAATGACTCCCCCTGGGCAATCCCAAGGACTGGCTAGCGCTGGCTCATCATGCCGGCATGGGAAAGTACTGCGGCAATTTTGTGGTCAAAAGCATCAAACTGCATTACAGACATGTTCACCCTCACCCTCAGGATCCCTCAGGTCTATGCCACCATCGGAGCGGAAGCCACTTCTACGTGCCAAAAGTTGGGCACATCGTCTCTCGCGCAAGTACTGTGGCAATGCAGTTGCACGCGCTGCTCTGCATGTTGGCACGTGTCCATCCTGTAGTCCTGTGGCAGGCTCGTGTTGCATCCTTACAGGTAGCTGGGCGTGACAGGCCGAGTGTCCCATCCGAAGGCCAAGGGAGCAACCCCATGGAGGTGCCATTTGTTGAGACAGAAGAGACCCCCGGCCCCGCCGCAGAAGTTCCTAGCCCCGGAGGGGGCAGCGGCCCAGGAAGCTCTGCGAGACAAGCCCAGAACCAGAACGCGCAGGAGCCATGGAGCCAGCATCCAAAGGGCGGCCGGCAGACGGGCCCCTTCGGGGGAGCAAGGCGGTAGTGGCCCAATCAGACTAACTATCTGTCGCGGGTCCAGTCCGACCACACGCTGGGGTGAACGTTCAAGAACACTCAGGACGGCCCGCAACAGATGGTGCCGCTGCTCTTGCCATGTGCCGACATTTGGAGGCGCCTCAAGCAAGACACACCAGCAGCAATCATTAGGTCATTGAAGGTGACCTTGCTACAATACTTAGCAGCGGAATAAGTCAACAGGTTGGAACAGCATCAACTCGATGCGCAGGCCCAGGAAGAAGCACAGTCAGAGGGATGGGTATCGTTAGAGGGGAGTTTCACTACGTGGCCTGGAACTGGGAAAAGAAAGTCCTGGAACCGACTCAGGAGGAGCGATCCCTGACACTCGACCAAGTGATGACCGAGGCACGACGTCTGAAGCAGCTGGTCAAGAACCCGGCCATCGTTCTGAGGTTTGCCGCGTCGCGGGGGATCGACAAGATTCGACAAGGACTAAGCGGGAGAAACAACGACCTTCGTTCTGAAACTCTCGCTCATGACACCGGATGCGGTCGAGGCCATGGGCATCATCAAGCGCTGGTTTGCATCAGCGGCACTCCTGCTGATGTCGCTTCGCCTGAAACCGGCCCGCCCGCAGCGGTCGCCGCTCATTCAGGAGATCCAGGAGGCGGCGGGATAGTAACAAGCCCGGCACGCAGCACTCTTCGCACAACCTATGTAACCTGCACTCTGCAGTGTATGTCTTGGCCTATGCATGGCAGGCTTTTCGTCCGACCGGCTCTCCCGCAGGAGCCGTGGTCTTGCCCGAGCGCTGCACATGCTGCTCCGCCCAGGTGCGAAGCCTTCCAAAACCACGAAGCCAGGGTTGCTTCTGCTTGACAGTTTACCCTTCAGCAGCAAGACAGATATTCATTGATCTCCCCCTGCCAAGCAAAGACCGCGCTACCATCCAGGAATGCGTCCACACGTGGCATCCCCAACAGGCTCCACATGCACTGCTGATGCCTTCACCTTTCCTTTTGGTGTATCTTGCTCGGTATGCCTTGCTCGGTATGCCAACCCGGCGCAGGGGAAGAATGGCATTTATTTGCCATGCCAGGCATTGGCAATCGTTGGCACAGATATGTTTCCGACTTTTTGGAGATGCTGCACATGCGGTGAGGTGGCTGCCTTAACAACTCATCGGCGGGGTCCTGCACTCCGGTCGCACACCTTACAGTGGACATTACCGGGCTTTCTTTGCTCACGCCGATGTTGCAAAGGCTGCATCGTCACGGCGGGTTACGGCCTCCTCTGGAGTGCCGCGCTCGCGATGGTGGTGCACCGATGACAACGTGCGAGCCACAGCCAGCCCCCACACATTCCAACGCACCATCAATGAGAATTGTTACATTCTTTGTTTTCGGGCCGCACCCGAAGTCGCTGAATCCAGTGCTGTCTGACCATGCCGAGGTCAGCTGACGTTTCACATGAAGCACAGGGGTGAGTGGCTAGCTTCTCGTAGCGATGTAAACATTTCGTTGTTTACAGCCCTAGATGGCCACGCCACAATGCTGGCGTGTCGAGTTTGCCGTGCATGGGACAGTCACCTGACCTGTTCTGCGAATGCAAAGTCAAAAAGTCTCGCTCTCGCTCGCTCGCTCGCTCTCTCAGGCAAAGTCGGATGCGCAGCTGGAAATGCGCAAGCAGCGGAGGCGGCTATGCTGCACCTCAGAGTTCCCTCCAGCTTCCCAAAAGCAGCACGTGATTTACCCTGCACGTCGCAGATGACAGGAGGTAAGCTCCACTCGCTCTGGCCCAAGCTCATGAAGACCTGCTGCATTGACAAAGCACGTGCCTGATGGTGTATGCGGAGCTCGACCAACACAAACTATGTCGATATTGAAAAAGAGCAACACCTCTGAGTCCAGGAGATTCCAGCCCAAGTCAAGCCTTGCTAACGGTTAACGACATTTCCACATGCTCGGAATGCGCAGTGCCATTTCGCATCTACGTCGTCGCAAAGAGCCACAAAAGCAGACAAGAAGCTCTCGAAGAGTCTGACTTGCCAGCAAATTGTGAATCCATCGGGATGAAACGGAGGCACCTCACAGCAAACGGACGCCACTTAGAACCCTGTTCGGGTCACGCACACTTGGCTCGCAGAGTGGTTGACTGCGTGTGGTGCTGTCTCTGCTACAATTGCTCAGAGACGCCAGAATTCACTGGTCGGTACGGATTCTGTTGCACACGTTCAACCTGTCAACACCCGGTTCCGACCCCTACCCCTACCCAGCCCTACCCGCTTTGCAAGCCCCAGCATGTCTCCGTCCTCAATTAAAACTCCGAGACTCTCCGAAGCTAAGACATCCTCCAGCTTCCCAAACATCCGAGGGAGCCCACCTGTTGCGCCAAGTCCGACGTCAGCGACAAGAAGTGTCTGCAGAGCTGGATGCCTGTAGCTGCAGAGAAGCTTTCTCGGTAACAAGTTGATACGCTTTTCGACAAAGCTGCCGTCCCGCCAGATCACAGAAATTGCCAAGAGCCTCCGTGATTGCACAACGAAGAGAATGGGGAGAGTCGGCATTAACAGACGGAGACTCGACCAGCCTGCATTCCAAACTTGAGGCCACTTAAGTCCTCACATCAACAGAAAAGTTGCGACAAAACGGAAAGACTGACAACCGGCATTGCAGTGCAGTGCAGCAGCTCACTGCAAAGTGGACTCCAGATGTTGGAGCGCGTCGAAAGCTGGCGACAGGCCCTCGAGCAGCTTCAGCCTGCAGCTTCGCTTAGCGCTGCAGTTGTGAGCAGACACGCGGCGCTTGTAGGCTACATGCATGGAGCTGACAGTGAGGAAGGAAGCTCCCGTGCATCCTTTCCTCGCCACAGATCGCGCAGGGAACCCCGTTTTTTGAATTTCACAAACCACTGCAACAGGAAACCACGAGGCCGCGTCAAGCTGAGGAAAGTTAGTGTATGGCCAGGGCCTTTGCCTAAGGATACCTGGCCGTTTGAAACGAACTTTCTGCCACAAGCAAATGCTGACACAAGACTTTCGCTTTAAGCACGCGACGAGAAACTTGGCAACTGCGTCATCCGTGAGCTGGACATTCCCCTGTTCAAACAAGGCACGTATGCAAAGATGAAGCATGACATGTTGAAAGCTAACCACTGGCAATTTCACTGTACCATGCCGGCTGCATGCAGCATGTTGACTAAATGGCCGTTTGGGCCCGGGACCCTCGCATCGACGAAGCTATCAAGGCTACAAAGCTACCCTAAACCCTAAACCCCGCCTTACCCTACCTCCATGGTATGTACTTGTGTGTGTGTGTGTGTGTGCATGTGTCTGCATATATGTACGTCGTATACATGCATGCAGGTACGCAAACATACATATAGATTTTCATATGTATAAGCATGAGCAAGGATAGTTTCATAGGTCACATAGGTAGATACCCTGCTCTGCTCTGCTCCGAATCTACTCTACTCAGCTCTCCTTCTCCATTCTCTCTTTTCTCCGCTACGCTAGTCAGGTCCGCTCTAGTCTGCTCTGCTCTAGCTTCCTGTGTGTACTATACTATGGCCTAAATACACAAAACCAAGGAACCGTCAACCCTACATCCAAAAACCCTAAGCCTCAAACCAAGAAGTCAATAAGTCAATGCCCCAGGCCCACGAACCCTACGCCCTACTAAAGCCCTACACCCAAGAGGCAAATTAACCCCAACCCTGAACTTATCTTGGCCTTAGTCCTAATGCCTGATCGCAAACGAAAATCCTAGCCTCAAAACCCTAATCTTTCATGGCAAAGCCAAAGCCCTAAACCCCAATTCCAAAACCCAAAACCTGAAACCCTAATCGCAAAACCAAAAACCCAAAGCCCGAAACCCTAGTGCCATATCCGCAACGCCCTAAACCATCCTAAACCCAATGCCTTAAGCGCAATACCAAAGCCCAATCGCAAAACCATAAACCCTTAACCCTCGTGCCAACACCAAACAGCTTTAACCCTGATCAAAAACCAACACCTTAAATCGCCCTGTAACCCCGCTGGTCGTTGGCGGCTGGTGCAAAAGGTCACTTTGCTGGCTGACCCGCTTCGCGTCTTTTTCGCTTTGGTAGCTTCGTAGCTTCTGACGGCTTACCCCCCTCGAACGGGTCTTCGGGCCCTTGCAGTGTAAACTTCACAATTTTGATATCCCATGCACGGCATTGTGCTTAAGAGGAAGCACAGCTGAAAATGTGCTTAAGTTACTGCTCGGGGTATCATGCTGTAATACGAGTAGCTTCCTACTTGATTGCGCGACTCTGGTGAATTACGTCGACCAATATTTGTGCCTCTAGGTCGACTGTCTCGACCTTGGAGAGAGCAGCGATGGCGATGCGGCACGCTTCCAGCTCGTCATCTGTGAGGCCCTCCAAAGATTCTGGCACGGCTGCAAACGACATGCCCAACTCGTGAACTCCGCCTGATGCCGTGCATCGAGCTTGGAAGAGTGGCCTGTCAGTATTGGCGCTGGCCTGCAGGACTGGAGCGGATGGTAGCAATTCAAGCATTTGGGCAACGGCTGCGGGCCTTGGCAGCACTTTCTGATTCTCGCAAACCTGTTCGCACACATGCAGCAACTCCGTCTGCACATGCCCGCACCTGAGGCCTGAAGATAAATCATAGACGTGGAGTCCTGCATGTCACGTTCGAGGCTGCGCCCTACAGACATGTTCAAACCCTACAGCCTCAAGTAGGGCGCTGGGAGGCAACGTGCAAAAGTTTTGACCACTGCTGCGAATTCATCCTTCAAGGTGCGAAGGGCGCAAGCGGAAGCTGGCCTGAACATGCAGAGATCGGGTGGATTTGGCGCGTAATATCACGGTCCCGCAGGCGGCCTTTTGAGCACTGGAGACACATCTGGCACAAAGGGCTTGCCCCTGACGGACGGCCTCCGGCACCTGAATGTTCAGGCGCGCACGATTCCATAATCCGGATGCGCCGCATTCAGTAAACTGTGAAACGCCTTGGGCTGCCGGGACTGCGCATGGAGAGGTGGTCCTGCACACTGCAGTATTTCCGGGTGTGGCCCATCACGAAAGCATCAGAGCGTGGCCTTGAGCTCGTGCGGCAAACCTCAGCGATGGCAGCGTAAGGACATTCCGGGACATGTCATCACATGGCCTCATCCTGTAAGGGTCCCCGCCTCCTTGATCGATGCTCGGCTCCGGTTCGGGCCTTGCTTCTTTCGCGACCCTGCCGGGTGAGAAGATCGGAACAGCTCGGCAATCTGACAAATCTCCGCCTGGCGAGGCCAAGGTCTGCCCAGCCTTGGCATCGCACTTTGAACTTCGGAATTCCGCCAAGCTGGTGCATAACACCCAAGTGGGAGGCTCTGGATGTTTCCGTCCTTGAGCAGATCGGCTGGCTTCACGGCCTGGAACAGCCAAAGTTGCACGACGCTTTGGCTGGACAGCGGTGGAAGACTGACGGTATTGAGCTGTCCTGCTTGCTCCCGTGGGATCTCTTTCGGTTCGGCGTTCTGCTATGTGCGTTTGGCAGTGCCTGCAGAGCAAGGAATTCGGCACATCAACTTGTCACTGTTGTCCAAGGACACTGCATGATACTGTATGCACACTCAGGGCCTCCGCTGGTGACTTCGATCTGCGTGGCGCCAGTGACCTTGAGTGGCCCCCTTTGCCCAGTTGAGGCCTGATCGTTGCACAAGGCTGGCAGATCACCATGAGAGACTTCAACAGCCTCCGTATCATCATGTGCCGCAGCTTCTTGCAAGTCGAGTCAGGAACTGCCACGTTGTCAAGCAACTCCTATCCATGTGGCTTGAAAAGTAAGCCACACGAGACTGATTTAGCAAAGGTCCTGCCACCGCCGGGGGGGAGACTGGTCATTGTGGATCTGATGCTGTGAGGGCACCTCCGCTGTCAGTTCAACACTCGCTTGTGCTGTTGCCTTGCCCTGGAGTCAGAAGACCTGAAGATATCTGAACTAGCTGACAGTGGGCCGAGTTACAGGCGAGGTTCGGGTCGGCAAAAGCTCTGGGGCCGCGCGGGGCGAGGGGAGGAAGGGGCTCCCGTGGTATGCCAATTTTCAACGTGTGCCGAGACATGCCGAGACAGGCATTCAGGGCAGCGTCAGGATCTGGGAACATGCCCTGCGACTCAGAAAACTTATCGGGAACTACAGGAGAGGTCTTGGTGCTCTACCGTCTCTGATCATGTGCACCAGTCGGCTTCAGGATCCTGAATGCTTCAGGCTTGCTGAACATGACTGGCAAGCCTCCTTGCATGTCATTGCAAGGCTTATGCTTCTGACTACTGCCCGTGGCTCAGCTCAGCTGCTCGTGAACCTAAAACTAGTCCCAAAACTAGTTGGAGACACGGTGAGCAGCCTCTGTGGGGGAGCGCGTGGCACGGCGCCCGGCCCTGCTCCTGTGCTTTTGACAGCGCTATGCCTTTTTTCGGCACGCTGTCCGTACTGATTCTTGCTCCGACTCACGCAACCACAACATAACACGTCCGATTTAAGGGCTGGTGACGTCTGCTGGCCGGCAGGAAGGAAAGTGAAACGATCGACGCTGGCCAATCTCTGCAGCACTCCAACCGAAGTTGGAATGAGAAAGCAATAAAGCCTCCGTTTCAAACGCTAGGATCCACCATACAGCCCAAGATTGGTAAATAGCATCCACATCTGGAGACGATCTGTCGATGTGTGTCGGCCTCTCCTCAACATACAACACCTTGCCCACTGAGTGGAGACTTGACACACCTGGATGGTTGCGCACCTTCAGCGTATCTGCAGCTAGCAACCATGCCGTGTCTCCTGGTAGTGCCATATGGGATTCAACTGCTGCAGCACAGGTCAATGCTAGATCGAGATCTGAAAGAGAATGCCTGGCAGGATCTGACCATGTCGTTTCGTTCCCGGCGCGGAAATGAATTCCAATGAGCGGCCGGCTGCCGAGCCTGCGGATAAAGTCCTTGACGATCGCACCGGGCGCTGGTGCCAAGTCAAACAAGTGAAGAAACAAACCCGACAGAAGCCCCGAGCGGGCAAATTCTTTGGAACTGTCATGTTGCAACAGAACACGAAGAAGTCTGACGTTGGAAACTATGCAAAGTGCTTCAGAGTCATCCTGGAAGAAGCGGGACACATCCTGCTCGAAAGTTCTTGGATCCTCTGCTGACGTCCATCGGTAAGTCTTGCAGGACGATGTGACTGCAGGCCACGATTGTTTAGGAGACAGCACGCTGGCCAACGGTATTGGTGAACGCATGTCAATGTAAAAGATTCGCTTTGACAGCCTGGCGGCTAAGAAGGCGGACAGCAGTCCGAACAAACGATCTCCGTGTCCACCGCAGAAAGTCGTGTGCAGACATACAAAGACCAGCACCTTGCTGCTGCCATTGCTAGCTTTAGCTGATTCGAGCAGGCTCGCGTCGAAGTTGGGCATGACAGGGGCGAGTGAAAATCCCTCAGGAAGTGCCGTCCGTGTCGTGCCTGCGTTTCCAAGAAGGCCCGATACACGTTGCAGTTGTATCGGTGATGGTATTGTGTTCGCAAAAAGTCGGATTGAAGATGCTGGCAACATGACTGATGTTGGCTCGAAGCCGTAATCAAACTTGCGCCAAATACTCGTACAGTCTTCTTTACCTACTGTGACGATGTCCAGCTTGGGAAACGATAACGAGCTACACCCATGAACAAGAACGGCAGCACGAGGAGTCTCCGCAGAGCGTGGCACAGGGATGTCGCGAATGCGAGCAGTTACCGACTGCTCGACTTCAGGCGTTGGCAGTCTTTCTCCGTGATGCTGCAAGACAAATGTTAAAGTCTGGAACTCACCAGCTGTTGCGGTTAAAGCCATTGCAATCGACTCGGCCCATTGTTGCAGTGCGAAAAAACCACCGGGACGTACCGAAACGTCCACTGCGAAAGTGGTGCTATTGATGGCACTCTTCCAAAAACTAGGCATGCCTGGTGTCCAAGCAGGCATGCCCACGGCCCATGCGCTTCATCACAGCTTCTAAATCACGCCTGAAAACCCGGGCAATCTGGTCAGATCGCCAGGCCTCCGATGATGCCCAGCAGAGCTGGCAGGAAATATCTTGAAGACCAAACCTCAAAACCTCCAGTCCACCTATTGCTAGTACTCGTGCCTCGTCGAACGCATACCTCAAGTACTTCAAGGCCCCGCCGGCATCTGCTTCGGAAACGATGGTTGCCTTTTGTTGCTGCGAAGTTAATTCATCCATTTGATCTGCAGCATCGTTTAACGCCCTCTTGCGATACGCGAGAACTCTTTCCACGTGCTCCCTAAGCTCTACCAGTTCATCTCCACAACAGAAGAGGCTCTGATTCACATGCGGTAAGCATCCAAAGTGCCAATCGCCTTGCAGGTAGTATGAGTTGGCTTGCGAGCACCACGGCAGCCATGGAGTGAAACCATGATTCTGCATTCTGAAGACACCTGCATGCTCCTGAGCCTGACCTTCGCGATTCCACATCGGCTTTCCGCATTCACCCCATGCTTCACACATGAATACACCTGATGCATCTTGGAACATCGCGAGACAGGCAGGTCCTGGCTGCTCGGGTCTTCCAATCTGCCGGCCCCTGCAATCCCTGCACTCAGCTACCAGCATCTGCCAGCAGCTAGGTCACACAGTCTCATGCATCTGCACATCTCAGTCGCGGTCCAACTGCTGCAGTCGACCTGCGCATCGCGAAGGCCTAGGTGACCAGAGACGATCTGTCGAGGCTGCAACGGCATCGGCATGCAGCGAACTTTCTCTCTGACTTCGAAATCGATTCTTCTTCAAGCTCAAGCTGAAAGCTTCTGGCGAATCCTTCGTGTCCGACGCCAACTCTGCCTCTGAGGGGGAAAGGTTTCTCCTAGGGACCGCCTCTTTCCCTGCCTACCCAAGCGGCCCGAACATCCCTGAGCGGTCCCAATTTAGCCGCCTCAATCACCGCAGAGGGCACCAGCTCTGCCAGTTCCTCCGAATGCCGGCAGACTTGATGATACCTCGCAATGTCTGAAAGAGCGCAGCTTTCACGGAACGACGATGTGAAACAGGCTGCCGTCAGGACTATGAGGATTACACGTGGCTGGGCCCTTCCCAGTGTCACAGTTTCTCTAGCTTTCTCCACGGCTCTGTCTTTCCGAACTGCGGGCGAGTTTCAAGTCTGCCTTTACTCGGGTTTACGTTCTGGCACGCCACATCACGCCACGATCCTTCAGAGTGGGACAACGCATCGAATTCTGCACGTCCCTCCCGAACCCGCTTTCCATGTTGCATTCTGCATGCAGCCTCCGCTGCTACAAGTGCCCCGGCCCACCGTTCTGGGGTCGTGCAAATCTCCTGGCGTCAACGGATGGAGCGGTGGTCGGTCCTGCATCCTGCTCTGCTGTCAGATTTCATGGCACCTGGATACACGCTTGCAAGTCAACAACTCCTCCCAGCGACCTGGGCCCCACGGCCGACGTCAATCCCCCTTTGGAAGCAAACTACTGGCGGGGGGGAGCACGACGAAGTCATTGCCGCTTTTCAATCATGTAGTTGCAATCGCGATGGGTTCAACTCGGAAGCCATTTCAGGCACACAAAGACAGGCAAATTTCAGCCTCCAACCTGAGCCAACGGTGCCGCTACTCACTGTGGCCACATCCCGATGTGCTCTAGCTTAACACTTCTTGGCGGCCTGTCTTAACCTGGCTTTAATATCTGTGCACAGTTGCTTGATGCAGTAGATTCTACCAAGGTGCTTCGGCCAGAAGTCTTGATGCCTGACGCAACGAAGGACTCTTGTGCTGGGTCCAGAACTTGGACAGAGCACGTCTGAGACAAACCCCTTGGCCTCTCGAGCTTCGACTCCAAGCTTTCCTTGCTTGAAAGTCAGCGAGCGGGCCGGATGTCCGGAATCACGGCAAAACCAAGTCAAGTGCAGCAAGGACTCTCTATTCTCCAGTATGCGATGAGCTTGCAGTGTTTCTATGATGAAGCGACGGCGCCAGCTAGCTTCGCTTTCATCCTGCACTCGTGCATCTTGCTGCGACGTCTTTGCAACGCAACTTTTGCGCCTTGAGAAATGCGGCCTGGCGCTTCAGCTCCAGGATCCTCTCGACCTCCCAGGATCCGAGAGGAACCGAGGCCTCTCCAGCCTTCAGCACGTCAGCCCGTCAGCCACGCCGTCCACGCCTGCTGACGGAAGCGACTGAGGGGCTCCGGACCCTCCGTGCCTGGCAAGCAGACTCGTCTGTCCAGACGCAGGCCCGTGCCCTTCTCTTGCTTTCTATTTTTTGTAAAGCAGGAGACCGGCGCGGGTCGAGCGGCAAAGAGCAGTAAGTCTTGTTAAGCCCGTGCCTTTCTCATCTCTGCCTTGTGCTATGCAACTCTTCCATGCTGATAAGCAGGGTGGCCTTTCCCCCTCGCATTCTCAGACTGCGCGGACACAGCTTCAACGCAGAAATGAAAGCAAACGTGCACTGAGAACTTTCAGGGCCAGTGGGTAGTGAGGTGGAAGCCTTGCAAAGGCCGACAGGAAAAACGGTGGCGAAGGCGGGGCGAAGTTTCGATGAGCCGACATTGACATGGAGATACATGGAGGATCAAGGAGTCGTTATAACAAACGCTGGAATAGCCCTACATACCTCACATCATCGTTGCACATGTATGGGAAGAAGTGGGGAGCCAACGAAGCCCACTCTGACCCCTCGCTAAGCGCCCTGACGCTGCGTGCCACAGCGCAAACAAAACCTCAAAGCCCCTACTCTGGGGTGATGAGAGAAGAGCGACTGCTCAGCCTTCGTTTTCAAAGGGTCACAACGACTGCTGCTTCTTTGAAGTGGAGGCACGAACATCGGTCAATCAAATGGTCGATTTAAAGAGCGGCCGACGACAACTTCACTGGAAAGTTGTCCCAACTATGCCCATAATCTTCCCACGCTGTGCGCATCTCTACCTAAATGATCCTAGAAAAGATGTGGCAGAGGGAATGCCCAGAATGAATACAACGACGAGTTGAAGTCTCCTTACACTGTGGCGGACAGAGGCAAGGACCCTTCTTGGAAGCGGTCTTCCAGAAGATGACCGCCACCTGCCACCACGGAGGAGCAACTCAGCAACGGCGACCCTCGATCTTCGCTGGTCCTCTTCGAGCTCCTTCTGCAGGTTCTCGGAGTTTACGGCCTGCAGTGATCTGCCGTCAGCACCTGTTCGACCGTTGCGAACTTCCAGCCTCCACAATCGGTGTGTAGTTGAAACTGGGCAATTTGCTGTCCAGCAGCTGCCTGCGTCAAACAGCAGTCAAAGCAGCCTGCATTTTTTAAACACTGCCCGACAACCCACGGCCAGTTAGCACAAGTCATGGTTCCAGCCCCCTTGCCCGTCCGGACCGCTCAAAACGACCACAAGAAATTAAGCCCCTGGGAGTCTCATGTTCTGGGACGGACGGCTCAGAAGGAGACAAAGAAACTCAGCCCAAGAGCACTGTAAAAAACTTTGTGTAACTACCCTGAACCTGCCGGGTGTCATGTCCAGGGCACCCTGCCCGTGTTCGGGGAGTTTCTTCTCCAATGCTGTCACTGTACTTTTTCACACATTGTCGCGGGCATCTTCCCCCAGTGTGCTCGCTTGTGCGGTTGCCTTTCTACTGCAGCTCCTTCAGGCATTCCGAACTGACAACAATAGCAATAAGAACAGAACAACAGCGAAGCTCATGCTTCTCCTTCTTTCAAAGCCTGCCTTCTTCGCTCTTCGTCTTACAAGCTTTACTCAAGTTTTTGAGGGCTAAATTAAAACCGTAGACAGTCATCCCAGTGCGCCGCGTGCACTCTTGAGTCTGGCTGTCCAGCAGCGTCGCCAAATTTCTGCTCAACTTCTCTCTCCCCTGCATATTCTCTGGCTGCGGCGCTAGATTGTGCAGCCGTCAGTTCCGGGCGCGGGGGTGCGGGGTTCGGGATGTTGCAAACTGCTCAGTACTAGTGGCACTAGAGTAATTGCGTGAGGGCTTGTAATTGAACATGTTTTCGTTCACCTCACCAAGCTAGTTGATAGAGATGTGACTGCCTATGGTTTGGCCTGTAGATGGGGTAGACGTTGGTTCCACTCTCAGGGCAACTCGCTTTCTTTGCAAGGACACTAACGGAAGCACTTTTCATTGTCGCTGCTCAGCAGTGACCTTGGCAGAGCGGAACGGCTCGATTACTTTGGATCGTAAGCACACAACCTTAATCGTAGGCTTTGAGCTAGCGGCAGTCTTGAGCTTTTTTGAACTCAATCTTGAACCACAAAGTTGCGCATGAAGCGGAGCACTCGAAACAATTGTTACGATCTGCAAAGCAGTACCGTATGTGCTCATGGTCTGCAAAGCAGGCCCATGACACAGCACTCATAGCGCCTGTTGCGACACCTAACGAATTGGATTAGATATCGAGGTCCGGTCGCACCCCCCATGAGTTGCGCCTTCGGCACTGCTTACACAGGAAGATAGTCGCGATTGGACTTGAAAGAAAACAATATCTTATCCGCCGCAACTTTGCGACATGTTTCCATCGAGCCCTGATTCCCAATTAAAAACATTGTGACACTTCTCCACGTCAGTAACGATCCCCCGAAATCACTTGTCAGGATCAGAAAGTCACCGAAGAAAGCGGGCATCTGATGATGATCACATCGATAATGCCGGTGTCACACGTATTTGCTGAGCATGTAAGCATTGACATTCGCAAGGAAGGTCGCCACTGGGTGCTGTTGCGCCAGTGTTGTGCCAGTTGCAGATTCGTTCGCGTTCACGTTCGGGATCTTCTGGAGACCTTCCGCCTTTGCCTTTGCTCGCCCATCCGTTGGCATTCCCTCGGAGGACCCTTGGGCTCCGGAGGTCTTATGATGTCGCTATCCCTTCCATCGTCAAGGGTTGGTCACGAATGGACGTTTGACCGGATGGCAGGTGGTCTGCCGCAATGATATGATGAAGAGCCTGGGCATGCCTTGCGGGCCTTGTATCTGTACGAATTGCACGAGCTTTCGTCAGCTTCTCGACGACTCGAGACGGCAACTGAATGCTGTAGTTGACCAGCATCTCGATGGTTGTGACAGTGGTGGCATTGACATTGTTCGTCATCAGCACGCCCACCGGGTCAATGTGCAAATAGTCGACCGGCCGATCGGGTGGTTCTCGCAGTATTGCGAATTCTCTCGCCTGTCACCTTGGCGATGAGATCTGCCGATATTGCGTAGAAAGTGTACTGCATCTGTTGGGCAGTCTGGTTCGCAAAAAAGTTGTAGGTAGCCGGGTTGAATGTACGTCCCTCTGGACAATCCCATTTGTTGCGCCCCACGCGTCAGCTAGAGAGCAATTGATTGCTTCTGAATTTGCGAAGTAAATACTTCCACGGGATCCTGGGAGTCTTTGAGACCTCTCGAGTAATACAGGACTTCCTCGTCGGTGACTTCCCTGCTGATCATTGTTTGCCCATCAATTCCATGCAGCGTGGTCCAACTACCCAGGACGTCGTAGCGACTGCCACGTTCGAACATCTGACTCATGACCTCGTACTGCATGGATGTCCACTTGATGCTGGCTGTCCACGACTTGTAACTACAGTGCACAATGATGTAGCTCATGTGTGTGAACGACACCGCCTTTGCATCAACGCATCTTGCTGGTTCATGCTGGTTCTGCATCTACACAATAAGGCATTCAATAAGGCACTTGCATGGACACACGAGCTTGTGTGAGGATTGGGTCGGTGATGAGCAGCCTTTCTTCCCAACGTCTTGGACGTCATTCAGCAACCTCTTCTTGATCTTCATTCTCACCAAGTTCTTGTAGAAGTTCTTCATCAGGCTCAGCTTCGGTGGGCGCAGTGTCGACCTCCATTTCTGGTTCGGCTATTGACGCAACATCAACGTCATCAGTACTCCACCTCTCGGTCTGGTGAGACCCTTAAGCCGCCATATGAAGATTCGGTCTTGCCGTCATCTTGGTAAGCGATCGGAGCGCAGTGCTTCAAATACTCCAAAAGGTCATCTTAGGCCTGATAAATTGAAGCTCTGCCTCGTAGATACAGATGGCGGATGCCAAAGCCTGCTGTTCGACCTGCTTCAGTTTGCTATAATCATGAATTGACCACGCACACTGTCGCGATGCACTCTCGCAGGCGCATCCAATGCAGTTCAAAGGATACTCGTGGTTGCCGACTGATCTGGTGTCTTGGCAGAATGTCGCTGCTGCCTTGGCGCCTGCTCGCAAGTCTGACAGAAGAGAATGTCCTGCCAGCGGGGAGGTCAAATTCGCTTGTTGAGTATTCGTCGATCTTGAACCAGTAATAATTGTCGTCATGGTCGATCTCGGGTGGCAACGTCGAAGTCATGCCACTCCATTGAAGAACGCTCACCAATGCTGTCGCGTCTTGCAGCAGACTCAATTTCCTGAATCCTTTCAGACGACATCCAGGATGTGACGTTGACGTTCGAGGAAAAAGGAACTTGACTCTGGTCTTCCCAAATCTGGACGAATTCTTGACGGTTGATGACCTGTACCTTGACCATGCCATTCCATCTGGACTGGATGTAGCTTGCGGCGATCATCTTCTCGCAGAAGAGCTGCTTCTCGTACATGGCAAGAGTGCGATGATGTCGTAGATGTGGGTCCCCGTGCCCGTCTGGTTCCGTGGAAAGCTGCCAACGTCTCCTTGTGGATGCGAGCCTGGCCGAACATGGCTCGTGGAAGCGATGACTCCTGGTAGGGCTCGAATGCCTCCTTCAAGGTCTTGACCATGGTCTTGACCCCATCGCCCTTGACCAGAGCACAAACCTCCAGCTGCCGAACGTTTTGGCCCTCGCTTGTTTGGAGGTCGGACACGGCCTCCCAGAGCTCGTGGTCCTCCAGGAAAGGCTCAAGGGTATGTTCGGGTCGCTCGCCGTTCCCAGCCGGCGGGGGATCGCGCTCTCAATAGAATCCTCCGCCCGGCTCCGGATTAGGGGGTTGGGCCGAGTGCGCCATGCTCTGACAGCGGTAGCTTGCTCCAGCTTAACTCTCCTTCTCTCCAGCCGGGTCGGTACCGACTGCTCACGACAAGCAGGAGTGCACAGGTGTTCTTTTCGTGTTGGGCTCGACCAAAAGTCCTGATCGCAGGCTCCGGCGCCAACTGACAATACAGCGAGGCAGGGGAGAGAACTCGAAGAAAGATGGCTTCACGCGGCTCACTATCTTGCCTTCCAACGGGCAGCATTGAGACTCAAGCGGCCCGACTCGGGTGCACAGACGTTCAAAGCACTGAAGCCTAGCAGGCACTGTGCAATTCACAGAGGACAGCAACCTGGGTCGGCTGTGACGGGGGCTGTGGTGATCTGTGCGGGTGCGCGCAGGCGCAAGGTCGCGGGCAGGGCTACGCAACTGCCACAGAAGCTAGCAGCTCGTGCCGATCTTGCAAAGTCGGCCTCCCGCCCCCACCTCACCTTGTACAATACCGCCGCCAGCTTGTGACTGAAGTTCTTTTGAACCAATCATTTGCCTGGTGCCGGTGGCCCCCTCTCAACTATTGTGACAGGACCAAACAAGGTCGCAGATACGACTTTGACCTGCCTCAGTATTACTTACGGTGATGACTTCGTAAACGACATCTCTCGCAAGCTCCTAGCGGCTAGCTGCTGGCGTTCGTGCGGAAAAAAACTCATAGGCAGCAGCAACAAAAGAACATACCTCTCAAACAGTAAGGCACATGCGCGGCACAGGTGCGGTGCGCAGGGACCTGTACCCACCGTTACCCACCAACTGTGCATCCCGGGTTCGTATCCTGAACCGATCACGTCGGACTTGCTTTCATTTAGGAATTTGGCGGCAGCTTGTGGAGTTTCGGCCTTGGATTAGTCTGGTTGCAGGCTGAAGGGTGCCCAAGTATCTGCGGGAGATAGTCGCGCTAGGCGTTACGTAGTTGCTGCACAAAGACGTCTGTTCCCGTGTCCTCTGCAGCCGCGGCCGCAGCAGCTGCAACAGCGAATCGGAAGCTGCATTCTGTCAGTGTGAGGATGCTGCGGTGTGAGCGCTGCAATCGAATGCAATCGACATCCGTACTAGTACCAAATCTTGGACTCAAGGCCTCATGCTGCGTGGCCCGAGCAACCACATCATTGATCCAGCCAGAGCCCGGCCTGACATTAGGCTGCCGAAGGACTGCTCGCCAAGGACTTTAACAGAGACACAGAAAGAAGCTGCCCCAAAGCTCAGTCTTCGTCTTTGGAGGTGGCAGCTTCGCTTTCTCGCCGTCGAGGTTGTCCTGTGCCTAAGTCCGCTTTGGTTGCGTTCGCTCGCTTCACTTAGCAACTACGCCTGCAGACTCATGCCCGGCCCGTCAGCAACCCAAAAAGTGCCTTCTCGTCGTCCGCTGCGCGGAGCAACCCCCCCAAACCTGCAGCCAGCGACAGGGGCAGAATGGGGCAGACTTTGGCAAAGGGTCCCCCGTCCTCCGGCTCCGGCTCCGACCTTCCTGCAATCCAAATATTCTCGAATCGGAAGCCCTAAACGGCACTGCGGTTTCCGTCGGCTCCTGCAGAGGGCATGGAACATGGCGCTTGCGGGCGTGTCCACATTTGCTACATGCAGATGCTTTGAGGCTCTTCTTCTCTTTGCTGCGAACTTCCTTAAATTACTCTGTGCTGCGTGGCTTCAGGATGCTGCACGAGCAGTCTCGGCAAATCCCAGAACATCAAGCTGGTGGTGGGCGAGATGGTGAAGCTGCTTCTTCTGCACTGATGCACACTGTTCATGCTTGTTTCCGCCTGATCCATGCAACGCTTTCATGCTCGGTGATGCTCAGCAGGTACTCCTTGAAGCGATTTCCTGAGTTGCGACAGCCGCAGGGTGTTCGCCCTGAGTGTTCGTCTGGCATGTTGGTATCACAATGTTACCCTAACAAAATGTGATAAATGAGCTGTTCCTACATCGGACCGAGCATGTTGCACGTGCTGATGCCCCCTGAGTGACAGTGCAATATTTGATCGGGCCGTATCGGGCCCATCTCGAGATGCGGCACTGCCGCTGGAACCAAAGCAGCTCAAGGAAACGACTCGACACACTCCGCGTTTCATGTTGCATGGCAGGCTCGAGACCGATCACAACGACGGAGCTCACTACCAGGACCGCGCTTCAGATGGCAGCTCGTCATGGCTACGAAAGAATTCAAATCGTCAACGGGGGGCCGTCCCGGCAGACAAAAGAAAAGTTGTTGCGAAGTTGAGGGAAAAGGAGCACCTCATGCTTTTGCCCATCAACAAATCCACGTCTTGCAGCTGCAGTGCACTCCATGACGAGATTTTCCATGATCGTCTCCTGTTCGACTGCGGCACTGAAAGGATATTAAGGACCACTGCTCAAACTTTGCACGGCGCAAGTCGGCAGCTCGAACTATGCTGCCATGCTCATGCAGCCTCCAGGACGTTGGTGACGGTCAAGTTCACCTCTCAAATCTAATGGATTCTCAGAAGGAGTCTTTGACTGTGAATTCCGCTTGAGTTGCACTGCTTCTGCTGATTCGTTGATATTGGCTGACTCTCTATCATTGCATCCAGCAGCTGCTGCATAGTTGCTTCGTTTTTTGCGAACGTGTCTTTATGGGCTTTCTGAGCTTGGTTTACATGATCAATATACTACTTTGAGGTCATGGCTGTCTGAGCAAGCGTTCCATCTTTCAATGCTTCCTGAAGCAAGTGGCCCATCACCTGCGTGTGGCCGTCATATCTGGTCTGGAGTAGCCAAACCCTCCTTCGCCTGGAACCCTTTCCCTCTGGCATGTCTACTGATGGACTGTCCCACGAGAAGCTCACGCTGCGTCACGCTGCTACTGAAAGTGGCCAACAAGCCACAATGCTGTTCAGAAGAGTAGTCAACGGGTGCTACTTGGGGCCTGCAATGCCAAGCGAGGACACGCCGATGCCAAGCCAACCCATCACGGGCAAGCCGCCACCTGCGCACGGTGCAGTGCCACGGCTCTTACCGCCTCGGCGAAGCCTTCCAACACAGAAATCAGCACCGACAGCAACTTGCGGGTTGTAGTCACCGCTGCGCAAACCACACCTGACGGCAAGGCATGACCTCTGATTTCTTTACTGCCGCCAGGCTAAAGCATGCCAAGCAGCTGTCGAAGTTTGCGATTGTGTAGAAGACGCTGGCCTGAACAGCGCTCAGTCTTGTCAGGAGCTGGCGAGGACAGGCATCGAGCATGTGAGATACTCGCAGCGTGCCTGGCCCAAGGCCCCGCATATGGAGAATTGAACAACTTGCCGAGCGAAATTCGGGTTCGCGAAGCAGAATGTCAGACCCTGCAAACCGACATTGACGGTTTCAAGACGGCGCGGTACAATACGCCGTGAAGAAATTCGACAAAGCATGCCAGATTCATGCTGCCTCGCGAAGCTCTGACCGAACTGCGAAGAGGCTAGATGTGACTGCCTCGTCTTTGCAGCTAAGCCGTGCTATGTAAGATGCCAGAAACACGGCAACGGGATGCAAATTCAGACAAGCGGCCATGTAAAGGTTTGTCCAGAACATGAGGTCCTTACGGGGCCATGCTTCATGAATTAAGTACTATCAAGTACTGTTGCTGCTTCGCGCTGCCGTCTGTAACAGCACGTGCTACTGGGTGGTGTGGCACGCAGCGTGGCCGATGTGCCAACAGCGGTCTAAGGCCACCGCATACGGACGGACCTGCTCAAGAGATGATGTCTCAGCACGCGATTTCTTGGAACGGAGCTCCTCCTTGTATTCCTTCCGGCATTGAACCTCTGTGGCAGTTGGAGTGCTTGCAGGCACGCTAGCAATGGCTGCAGGCGCACCTTTAGTCTTTGCTGGACGCCGCTAACCACTCCTCATGCCGCTCTCAGATGGCACCGCAGGCGTCAGACGAACATGGATCTTGTTCCAAGGGGCCATCGAAACACAAACCGCTCATGATGAAGACCAGTCCGATCGTGGTGCTGCCGCCGACTTTCTCCAAGGGATCACACGGGCTTTGACATTGGCGTTGGGTATGTGGCAGCATCAGCTACTAGAAGATCTGTGATTGTGGTCCGGACCTGCCTTGTTCCGTCCTTCCGACAGCGAAACGATACCTAGGGTAGGAATGTTTGAAGCATTGATCATGACTCATCCCAGCTCGGCGTTAAGCACTTCCAAGATCGAACCAGGCTGAACCAGGCGACTTGTCCCGGCAACGATGGCTAGAGCTTGCAGATACTGGCGAAGCGTAAACTTGGCTTGTCCCAAAAGAAGGAATCCGATCCTGATCATGAACAGAAAATGAGGAAGCAGCTTTGCAGGTCATGTCGAAGTGAATTGCAGTCCAGGCACATAACCGGAAGCATTTTTGCAGACTTGGCCAGCGTGGCCACAGGAAAGGACAGGCCGGCGGCAAGAGCAGCACTTGTGCAGTACTTCCTGAGACGGACAAATCCGGGAGCTGCCCGACACGTCCTCTAGTTCTGGGCTGGATCTGCATCGCACGCAAAACCAATCTTTCTGCCTGGGATCGAAAGTACTTGCCCGACGCCTGAAGCGACCAGAAGCGCCTTCACAGCACAGTCTGATATTTGATGACTGACTTCAGAGTGTAGCGCAGGACAGTGCTCGTCACCTGAGGTAAGCCAACCGTGCTTCCCTGGATGCACCGCCCGGCGTAGCCTGGCAGAAGCAGGCTATCAGCTCCCCCTTCAACAAAGGTCTCACTTCCTGTGCAAGGTAGAAAAGCGGCGGACTTCACCTTTTCACTGGCCTGCATCAGGCTTCTCACGTGGTCGGTCCCTCTCAGTGGCTTTTGATCTTGGCCTCTCGTGTTCTCAGCTCTGGCAGCATAAACAAGCGGTATGCCGGCACGACCACGAGGCACAGGAATACAGCCAAGTAAATGTCGACGTTGGGGCCATCCATGACGTGGCTAATGGCATGCATGCCCAGGGCAAAGCACACCTCCCAGCTGATGCCGATGAGCAAGCCGTGGGCAAGGATGATGTGATTAATGATGTGTAGCGTGGATTCCGAGCCGCTGCTACCTTTCATTGCATCTGCCACTTTGTCGAGGCAGAGTAACATCAAGCATGACAAGGCAGAGACGACGAGCGCCACAATCAGGTGGCCGATCAGATGGTGCTCAAGCTCTGGCAAGAACGCATTCATCATGGCGATAGCACACGAGAGCATGCCCCACGAAAACATCCTTAGACGCGGTAGCAGCACAGGTATTCACATGAAACGCACCAATAAAACATGCCTGGTGGTGGCACTCAGGAGTTATCACAATTCATCAATCATCCAAGTGTCATGATGAATGTCTCGGTGAGGAGCAGCAATGCTCGAACGCGAATATCATCTTCGTCTGCCGCAATATGTGCTTCGTCGAGCTCGTGTGGGGAGCCGTGCTCATTGCTCTCATGACCGTGATCATGACCATGCCCGCCGAACAGCTTCTCCTTCAACTTGAAGGTTGCAATGCCTAAGATCATGGAGCCGATGGAAACTGCAAACAGAACCATCCAGCCACGGTGCCAATCTTCCGAGGGGACATCGGCATAGATATGGAAGTGAGTGTCGGGCATCGCACCAATGGCAAAGAAACTGATGCTGCGGACGGAAGCGAACGACAGCCCCAAACAAAGTGACTCGTTCTCGGCTTCCTCCGAGATTTCATCCCAGAGTGCCTCCCCGCGGCTGACAACTCCGTCGTCCATTTCACTGATTTTCTTTCTGGTAAATGCTGCTAGGCGGTACAGAAGTGTGACCAGCACAAGAGCGCCTGGAACCACCAGCAAAGACATGAGAGGTGAGCTGGCGAAGGGTTCAGAGTCCTGCAAAGAGGCCAACGTCGCAACGATTGCGAAGCCAGCACAATGCGCCACCAGACCGCCCCAGCATTTCATCGCAATCTCCCGTTGCTCCCAGAGTTCCTCAAGCTCTCGGCGCTCTTCTTCGCTTGAAGCATCCTTCGGCTCCTTCGCCTCCTCGCCAAAGGCACCGCTCAAGGCGGCAGTCACAAGTTGCGAGCAAAGGAACCACATGATGGCCAAGCCAAAGCAGAGTCCAGCGTTGCCCCAACCACCCATAGGTATGTGAGAAAACAAGAACCGCTTTGCCACCTGGTTGACAACATCAGAAGCAAGCACGGCAATGAAAATGCAAGCGGACAGAGTGAGAATGTTCCAGCTGTAGTATCTGATGTCAAGATCGGGATGTTGCACGAGATAGAACATAGCCATGACAAGTGTAACACCCCCGATGAGCATGTAGGATGCTGTCAGCGTCTTCTCATCGGGAGCATGATGGCCATGCCCTTCGTGTGCATGACCCTCTTCTCCGTGGCCATGTCCACCATGTTCAGAGTGTCCCCCATGCCCTGCGTGTCCATGTCCATCTCCATGCTGATCGGAATGCTCAGCATGGCCTTGCTCTGCATGCGCTGCCTCAGTCTGGTGGGCAGACTCCTCATCGTGTTCTGCGTGTCCATCATGAGCTCCTTTGTGACCATGCGATACGTCGCCGTCTTCATCATGTTGCGCATGATCATCGTCCTTGTTTGCGTGCTCCTGGCCGTGTTCCTGGCCATGACCGTGGTCTGCTGCGCTCTTGCTTTCAACTGCGTGTTCTGGCTCTGACTCAGCATCGTCATGGCTCTCATGCCCATCACTACCATGATCTTCATGCTCTTTGACGGTGCTTGCCGACTCCTCGGCTTCATGCTCAGGCTCAGACTCGTGCGAGGACGATGCCTTGTTCTGAGGAGGATCAATGATGCGCACGATCACGCCATCCTTCGGGTGCTCAACATTTTCGACTTTCAGCTCTTCCTTCACGGTTCGCACCGTGATGTGAGTCTTGGCACTGTTTGAAAGCACCGTCAGCCATGCTAGGAAAATGAGGAACCTAGCCATGCTGGCTATGGTCACCGAACTGATGACCTGCTTCGTTTCGCACAAAGGTTTTTGAACCTATATGCTCTTGACCGGAAGGCTGGAGTGAAAAACCGAGCATGCGCAAGCACTACACAAGCCCGTGGCGAGTAACGTTACATGACGCAGCCACCTACTGCCACGTTCATCAAAGTATCCACCAACTGCAGAAACCACACTGCAGTGAACCTGAGTCAACCACGATTTGTCTTGACAGCTGAACATCTGACGACGGATTCTTCCAAGGTGCCTCTGTCCGGTTGAAGACTTGAACTTAAAGATCCTTTCTTGAAGCCTCGCATGTTCTGCCACGCAACCCCAGCATGTCCAAGCCGCATTTCTCTAGTTAGGTTTTTCAGACTGTCATGGAGGCAGGCATGTCAAACACGAGCGATCCAACGAATCACACAGAACAACAAACATGCTCAACAGCTGTACTGGTTTTGTTTAATAATGGACCAGCTAAGGCTAAGGCAACACAGTTGCGTATATATTTTGTAAAACAAAGTTTGACTTATGAAATAAGCAAACGCTTTTTAACTATGAAATTTGAGTTCGAAGTCAAAGTTATTTTTCGAGTGTTGTTAAATAAGTGTCCCCGCAAAGTCAAACCGAGAGTTGCCTTCATCGGCAAAATTTGCCGCCGACGATGATTTGCCGAAACGAAACTGCTACTGAAACTGCTTCGGTGCCCGGCCGAAACTGCTACCCAAGTTTCGGCGACATGAAAGAGCATTGTGCTGTATATCTTGTGTGCTATGTGTGTTTGCTTTTGACAAAGACACAGCCCACAGCGAAGAGAAGTTTATAACAGTTTCGTTTTTGGCCCCTTAAAAGCCTTAAAACTGCTGCCCACGGTGTAGCGCTATGGAAGCAGTTTCAGAAGCAGTTTAGCGGAAGTTTCGACCAAACTTCCACTGACAGCTTTGCACCGAGTTAGCTTCATAGTAAAGTTCTGCCGTCTCCATTTTCGCTTGGCTGCAAATGAACTGTCTATTTTCTACGCCATCGTTCTAACTATGACGGCAAAGTCCAAATCGTCCGAAGCTGAAAACTGCCGTTTTAACTAGTTCCCGCTTTTTGTCTTAGCTGGTCTACTGGGTACTGCATTGAAGCATGCTTGATGTGGCCACTGGAGAACGTTGCACAAGCTTGGAACGGTAGTGAGTTCGGTATTGTGCCGACCATACAAAATGTGCTCCATCTTGAAGCCCTACATAGATCTGCTCGGAAGCCTTCCATACCAAATGAAGAAAAAGTAGATTCCAGCCTCAAAGTAGCAGCAGCAGCCAAACGTGCCATGAGATTCCGTAAACATGCCACCATCGAAACAAATGCAGCTCTTTGCAGCGATGACTAAGGCCACGTCTGCTCCTTTGAGCAACTTGAGTCGATCCGGCGGTGCCTCCCTAGTGCTGTGACCATTTCCTTGTCGGGACTGACCTTGCATCTTCATACCCGTCGATTTTCTGTCGAGGGAGCCACTGCTGCAAAAGTGAGCACATGCTAGAATGGAGGCCTTCCTGCACAGCATCAGACAGGCCCATTGCAATCTGCACCGCTAACCTGAAACTAGCATTCTGCTTGAACTATCAGGGCATCAGGGAAGAGGTTCGAGGACTCGATTGCGAACATCCTTCGAAGTTTTGGTGCTTGTCTTTCCAAGGGCCTGCGACTGCAAAGATGCAGTACGATGCGGTAGCGTGAGATGGATGTTGACTGCACCAAGCTAACAGCAGTCTGGATGCGCGATCAAGGAGCAGATCATCGGAGCACGGCAATACAAGAAGCATCTCTCAAAATGCACGAGTGATTCCTAGCTTCTTTAGCATTTTGCCTCCGCTGCCACCCACGCTATGCCCAAACAAGCGATCACGTCGCAGGCTTCGGCTGGTGGCTGGGCGTCGTTAGCACAATGGATGTTGCGACCCAGCTCAGGAGACGAGACGATATCTTCTGATATCCCGATCCAGTGCAGAATCGAGCCTCCAGGACGGGCACCGCTACATCTGACTGCGATCGCTGGACCACAATGTCAAGCCCTGCTTCGTGCAAACATCCCTCCGTGTATGATGTTTACTCATGTGCACGCAGATACATAACTTCTTGGGCGAATCAATTTAATGTAGCACCTCCTTTAAGCAGCTGATTTTCTCCAATGCGAAGTTCCCGGTTCTAGTTCACGACGCTGTGACTGTTCAGGCCGTCCTCCACAAAATGTCAAGTTTGCTTCGTGAGATCGTGTCTTGCATTCTCGCTTCGGTGAATGGTCAAAGTTACATAATTCGCAAATTATTCATGCTAGTTGTTTTTCAGTTCTGAATGTAGTTCATCTTAACCTTGCGTATCAGTTAGGTCATGTGCCCTCTTTATTAATCCTTTTAAAAGCATTCCAGCCAGAACACAATGATTCGTGAAACTATCATCCTGTATGAAAGTAGTTTCGTGCGAATGACTCACAATTTACTAATACGGATGCGTGTGCCTGCGCAGATTCCCAATTAGCGATCGAGCAACCCGACGACCATGACGAACCCGACGACTACGCGAACCAGATCACCACGAGAAAAAAGATACCTCGAGGCGACGAAACCACCAACAGACCATGCGAAACACCAGCTAGCACTGGTGAAGCACGGCAGCTATTTCCTCAAAACAAGGGCACCCTGATCGTAAGCCACAGCGGTTGCGGCACGCATGTCCTTCTGCACTACCCTCTCCTAAGGTGCTGCTGCGGTTGCAGATTCACACCCGTCCTTGACTTTTGATCGGGCCTTACCAGGGAGTGCGAGCCCCGTTTTCAAAGCACCTTTAGGTTTCGTCTTATTTGCGGGGTTGTAGCTACCAGTGGCATCTGTAATATCATCATTTTGAAGCTGTCAGATAATTCAGGAGACCACAAGAAACGACCAGTAGACCATCAGGAGGCAACCACCACGAGGAGTTCACCAGGGAGGCCTAAACGCCTTGGTGGATTCAGGACCACGGCACTTGCAAAGTACAGGCGGGATTCAGAAACACGGGGCCGAATGCCTTCCACCAAAAACGCCGATCCAAGACCACAGCCAAATTAACCAAAATCCCTTCCCTGGTAGGATTGAGGAGCACGGCGCTCAAGCTTGCCCCGGCAGCATACCGGCGGGCCAGATGCAGGCCAATGTATTGGAATTTACAAAAAAAGGCTCGCCGGGATCGGGTTGCAAGCGGATCCTTTGCACAAGACGGACTTCTCGCGCGGCAAAAACGCAGCGGGTGTCCCGCTGAACGTGGCTCTAAGGCAGCCCCTACGCGGTTTCAAAGGCTATAAAGCACCGGAAAGGAAGCACCAACGGCGACGATGATGCGCATGATGCTTGCGTACGGCGTGCGCGCGGGGAGCATGGGCTGCAGTGGGTGTCCTACCGGCCATGCCGGCCTTTGCTGCCAGGCCCTACAATTTCATAAATTTATGTTCGACTCGCTCTCTCTCGCTCCTTCTCCGTGTCTCTCTCACACACTTGCGCAAAGACCGAAACACACTGGACACAGTATGTCGCAACGTCTCAAATCACTTGTTGCACTCAATTCCGAATCAACATCACTCAACATCCACATGCAAATCCACTTCTGACGACAGAATCACCTGCGGACAATATGAACCAACAGCTTTTGGGTGCATTTGGGTGGGCTTTTTGCAGGTACGTGAAGAAGGCGCCCTTTCTTCATATCGCAGCAAATCTGGACGGTCTTTGTTCGGCAGCGCAATCCAGAAGTGCTCGCTGCCCTCACGCACATGTCTCGGCGGACTCAGCAATATCACAGGCGCAATTACAACGATGCAGACCTGTTGAGGCTGAAGATGGCGCTGTCTGTTGTACACGGTGCCTACAGTGCAAACCGCTCGTGCTGAGCGGACCCCGCCATAACGGGCCGCCGTGTCAAGGCTGTAGCCTGCGCCAGAGGTACGCGCGCGAGCATACAAAATGAGACCCTTGGTCCGATTGGCGCCCAAGAAAGACTTGTCACCTCGTACGTGAAAGCTTCTAGACTCAAGACTTTCTGTTGCAATGACGGCGGGCTGCACCTTCGTACTATAATGGGCAACAGGATTTTTCACGACGGAGGCCACCGCCGCCGGAATCTTCACAATCAAGGTCATACGCATGCTTTCCGAAGTGTATGTACAACGCCCTGGGCCCTATTCGAAGGCTTGTGCACTTAAGCGGTCGCCACCTTCTCCAACAGATCTGCAGCGCACATCTGCCATGCAGAGAGCTCACCCCGGCCTCATCATCGCTGCTGAGGTAGGCCAACTCAAGGGTTTCAGGGAACACCTTGACGATTTCCCGAGCACCTTTCTTAAGAGCAAAACTTCCCACCAAACTCTTCCTGTTTGCAACCAGCACAGGGTAAAACTGAAGCCACGGAAAGGACAGGATGGGTCCCAAATCTTCACACAGGCACCGGATTCCAACGACCGGAGCTCAGGAAGATCAAAGAAGTTAGGATCCTGCAGCCACTCGTACTGTGAAGTGGCTAGGCGGAATATGAGGCTAGCGTCTCTGGCCAACCGCCAACCCGACTTGTCTTCTGTCCGATGTGATGGAAAACAACTTCACTCCGTTCGGACCCAGGACTGTTGGAGACACAGAAGGAGAACTGGATGGAGCAGGCACAGCCGCACAGCCTGCAAGCAGCAGTCGCCACCAAGCATGGTCCAGTGGAAGGGGTGGGACGGCTGCCTTTGACACTCTGCGGATCACTTTGGTTTCTGTCGCCGTCCCTAGATCCTGGCTGAGATCCTACCTGAGGTAAGGCCCATGCAGGAACGACATTCGTCCCAGAACTGCTGCCTCTGTCCGTTGCGATCACAGGAGCACTCGTAGTTGGAAGAGCATGCTGATGTCGACTCCAGCAAGCCATGTTCGTCGCGTAAAATGTAACGGCCGGCATCTGCTCACGTCCACTTCCCTGATTCACAAGCACTCCTTAATTAGGCTTGATTAGCAGTAGAATCTTTTGGATGGCAGGGCTGGACTCCGCTCGCATCTGCACGATTGCCCTACACGTCCTGGTTTGCTGGAGGCCTGGAAGGGAAGGGGGCAGCCGATGGGGCATGGGGGGAGGTGGTCCCGCGGTCAACCACAATGGGAGCGAAGTGCCTCCGTGGAGGCAGGTAACAAGTCTGCACATCCAACCCTACATAGCAGTTAAGCTGAAAAAAGACATCGGGTGCCCTCTGTGTTCCTGCTCTGGTTTGTCTATAAGGCTTGTCGTAACAAAATAAAAGGCAGTAGGAGGCACCCCGCTTTGAAGGTGTGAGGAACTGAAAGTGTGCCCTCCTGAAGGGTCCGGTGCTGGTCGGTTCGCGGCTGCGGATCTCTCTCTTTCTCTCTTGCTTGCTTGCTGGCCGTCTGGGCTCGGGGCTGGAGCCCTTTACCCTGCGCTCTCGAGCACGCCAAAGTTCATGTCCGGAGTGAGACAAGGGGAGTGGTCCCCGATTGCCAGCAACTCCTTCCAAGCACGCCTCAACTCATGTCCCCTTGGTTGCTGGCTTCTGCAATGCTGGGGGCAGCTAGGTGGTCTCAGTAAACACAATATAAGCGCTGCGCTGTATGTTAAAAGTGCAAGAGTCCACTCACGCGGCACGGGTCCCCTGAGTAAGGAAAGCAAAAACAGGTTCAAGAGAAGAAACGGGAGAAACGGTTCCCGTGCCATGGAAATCTCGGCTACTTGTCACTGTCACCTAAGCTGCTGCTCACTGTCACGCAGATATGCCATTCATTCCTGCCACCCGTGTCGTCGCTGATTCGGTAGTAGGGGTCGAGGCCATTCCACCGTTCCTATCCCCTGTAGCCACTGTCTCTGTAGTAGCCTGGCGCAGCCCCTGGCGGCGTTTTGCGGCCCTTTTCACTCTCCACGGCCGGCACTGTCTTCCTGCCGCTTCCACGCTGGGATGGAGTAATGCCTTCTGGGCCGGGGCGGTGCCCCCTCTGGCTCGTTGTCCCGAGGGAACTTCAGGTCGGTGCACACCAGATTTACAGTCCCCTGTCTGGTTCCTCGGTGTCCAGGGTGTTGAGCTGGTTGTGCTGTCCCAGAGAAACTTTAGGTTGGCGCACTCCAGACTCGTCCTTGTAATCGGGGCTGTGCGAGATAGCCTCGCTGCCTGTGTCATTTCCCCAGTCTGGTTCTTCTGACGTGGAGCTGGTAGCGGGGCTCCTGTCCTAGAGGGGCTGGGCCCCATCGGCGGTGTCCCGAGCACTGATCTGATGGCGGGGCCCCCGTTGTTGGTCCCCGGGGCGGACCCACCTTCTGTGCCAGGTCCTCTCTTGCGGACTGGTATAGTGGCCTCGGTGTGCAGCACACGGCGTGCAGGTTGTACTCGGTCATGTCGCTCTGGTCGAAGACGTCGACAAGTGGGTGCAGGTTTGGTTGCGGTGCCCCCAGTCTCGCTGACGTATCTTTCGCCGTATGCTCAACATGTACCTGGTAGTTGGCGGCAGGCTGCTGTGGTGTCAGTTCGGGAACTGCGCCCAACGTGAAGGCGAAGTGTCCCCGTATCGCCGTT